CAATTAGCTTATATTCTTATAAATTCCTCTAAAATGCTCGACAAATCAAATAAATAGAAAATGTATGGATATCAAAATGCATGTCATGCTTGTGAAAGAATCTGTAATAGATTTTGAGTTAGAACATACATTTAAATTCAAATGAAAACTCTTTCAAATATAAAGCGATTAAGAACATAACTGAATAATGATAGAGAATTTTGTATGCAGGATGAAACCGATAATTCAGAAGAGTTAGAGCGTACATAAGAACATACCTGCAAATGAGTTGGACCAAACATTAGTTAGTACTAAAATCAGTGTGAAGAGAAGTTCAACAAGTTTAAACATCTTTGGTTGATTTTTTTTTTTTATTTTTTCTTTAAAATTAGTTTCTCTCAACAAAATATTAATATCATACAAGCAGGTGTCGGTTTTATTTTCTTCCTTTCCCAAGAGGTTTAGAGGGTGGTTGCTGGCAGTTATCTTCCAAATTGTATCAAAAGGTAATTTAAATTGTTTTAAGAAATTAAAAGGGAAACATTATTTTTATTTGTATTTTAGATTGTCCAACTGACGATTTATGATCATTTTTTTTTTTAGTTCTCGATAAGTTTTTAGTAGTGTCGCTCGCTAGGCAACAGTCATTCATTGTATTCCCCCAATATTTATAACATATGATATTAGAGAATAGAAATATAAATATTTATTTAAAAATAAAATTAATCTGGTTCCATTATTGCAACCAACTTTAATATGCACACCACTAGCATCGAGACTTCGCAGTACAAACAAATTAAAGGGGGAAAAAAAATAGATCAACCAATGATTTTCAACAAATAAAAAGCTAACACTGTTTTTCAACACAAAGCATGGAAAATGAAAATATAACAAATTTCGGCCATCCATATATTGTTAACACACAAACAGATTTTTTTCTTTTTTCCCTTCTCTGAACTTTAAAAAAAACCCTCAAACATGAAAGATCAAAATATTTATTTTTTGAGTTTGAGGGAAAAGTCCAAGAACAGGAGATCTTTGGAACTCGAACACCTACACTCCTATTGATTATTACTCAAAAGTGATGAATCAGACAAATGCCTTGTAACATCTAGTTTTTGGTAGTTGTTAACTTTTGGAATTAGTATTATTACGCGCCTGGGAATGAAATGCTGGTAAATTTGTCCTTCCTCGTCAGTTTTTCACCTGAAAAACCACCTCTGCAAGGCAGAAATTAGGGTTTTCAAAAATGGTGCGTAGCACATGATTAACGGGTTCACGGTTCGCCTGATCTTCGCCCAAGTACTTTGATGGTATCCAGCAGTTGCAGGGGCATTGTACATGAGCTTCAAAATCTACATAGAAACAACAAGTTCTAACAGTAAAAACGGGACCGAGGTCTATCGAAGAAAAAGAAAAAACATTCCAACTTTTTCAAAATTATAGCAACCATCTTCAGATTTGTCAATCTTTTTACAAATGGCACTCTTGTTTGCCAAATACAAATCTCAAGTGGAATTTGGAATTAGGATGAGGCTCAGTTTGTGTTTATAACTGAACATAAGTAAATAGAATCACCACCATATAAATTAGTTGAATATCAAAATAGAAATATATTGAGGTGGAGCAATTAATTGTACTGAAACTGAAACAAAAAAAGGACCTTTGAGATTCTTCAAGGAGCTCTCCTCAAACAAAAAATACAATCAAGAAAGTTGAGGCAAAATTTTTTGGTTGCACCAAATATAGACTAAGCAAATATGTATACTACCAAAACAGTTTGACTTTAGGGCTCACTGATTAAAAGTTCACTCCACCATGAAACGAAACACAAAGAGTAAAAGGAGAATTAAGAAATCACGCAGGACATCAAAGTAGCACCGACCAATATTTTCACGTAAAATGACTAGTTAAAATCCTCATAGCCACAAATAATAACCAAGAATGCAGAAAGTGTCATAATCAAGTTCCAAATAAAGAGTGTGATGCACCTGCCAGTACATAAATGTTTGCACAATATCGCGCTGCCACCTGCATATTACAAGTAAAAAAAATACATTAGAATAAACATAGATTATCAAAATTCCAGGCATGAAACTAAGGACATAAATATGCATTTAAACATAAATTATCAAGAAAGGGAGATGAGTAGAGAGACAGACGAGAAGAGAGAAATAATCAGGAGGAACCCAATTCCAATCTCAGCATTTGAGGACAGCATGCTAAGAGTAGTTGTATGTAACCCTACCCAGACGCAAGCCTCTTCCAAGTACTTTCTGCAGAAAACCCACCAAGAAAGTCATAAATGAGGAGAGAGAGAGAGAGAGAGAGAGAGAGCAATAAACATGCAAAACAAAAGGACCATGTGCCTCTTGAAATGCTAAGGGTGTGATTGGATAATGGATTTGATTGGTTTTTAATTGGTCTTTTTGTTAACCATAGTTAATTTTGAAAAGGGTGGTATGGTTAGTTGTTAGTAGGAATTAGTTTAAATTAAAATAATATTTAAAATAAAATAATTAAAGTTGATTTGATGTAAAAGTAGGAGAAAAATGATTGAAAATTATGGTTAGTTAAAATTATGTGAGCGGATTAATAGTGAATTAAGGTTGATGTGATGTGTAAGAATGATTGGTTGATATCATTTAATTATGTTGATAATATTGAGGATAGTGGGGTTGTGTTAAAGTTGAGTTAAATTTGAGTTTTGATTGGCTGATATCACACCCTAAATGCATTGGTTGATATATTAAGAATGATTGGTTGATATCACACCCTAAATGTATGCTAACTCACCTGTACAAGGTTGACCTGCTAAAGTTGCGCCTAAGAAACTTCGCAACATGCTCCAGAGCCCGACATAGTATGGGTATCAAAGCAACTGCCAAAAAATTGAATATGAAAATTGTGCACTATTAGATAAGAAAAGCACCGTTGAAAAAACATAAGTATTACAATGCAAAAACTTATAATCAATAGTACTCGGGGTATACTGACATTTGAGGCACAGATGTGAAGTGACGAAAGAAAGGCAGTATATTGAGTAGATAAAATCTTTCGTAACTACCACCGACTGGAACCATACTTGCAAAGCCGGTAGGTTCCATGCTCTAGGTTTCTGTGAAAACAGTATGTCAGCAAGCAGAAAAATAAATGTCAATGACTAAAATTGTGAAATTGACTAGAGCATTACCCCATACAATGAATACATGGAATAAAGAGAAGAGCATGCAGTGCCAAAGAAGGAAAGTCGATATGCGCGATTGGAGAGATTTGTAGGCACTAATGGAAAAATTGCAAAAACTGCCACAACAAGGACCTGCCAAAATAAGAAAGTAAGTTTAACGTTTTTCCAAAGAAAAACAAAAAGGATGGGGGAGATATAGAAAGAAAAAAAAAAGGTAAAGAAAAAGAAAAATACAAAGAAAAAGATCAGTAGGCAGTAGCAGCTGCAATTTCATGATAATAAGACTGGGAAAAGAAAAATCAGCCAACAGCAACAATAAGTAAGTGACATTCACCACATATGCATACTCTTCTGATGTTTTACTTTATACCATGTAAACACCACACCAAAAACAGTTTTAATCGACTAAATCTTGATAGCATTTAATAGATACAATTGTTAACTATATTAAAGGGCCCAGCCCATATATATTAATGGCCCTAAGTATATGTATGGGTATCTTCATTCTTCATAAGTGAATGAATTATTTATCCAAAACCCTAAGGTTCGTAACAAGGATCATAGGATAACAAAAAACCATTGCTGATACCAGTCCAAAAACTGAGTATGCCTAACAGTTCTAACAGAAGCAAACTACAATGATAATGCGTCTAATTCAAAGTAAGCTCCATATACTGACAAAAAAAACAGAAAAAAGAAAAATCATACAGATGGGATAGCTTAAGAAAATGTACGCTGAGGTATGTTTGCACGTGAGAACTCAAGTGTGTGTTTGAGAGAGATAGAGAAAAAGAGAGAGAGAGAGAGAGAGAGAGAGAGAGAGCATCCAATGGTGCTTTGGTCTCTATAGAAGCCATTGACACACCCAACTCAAATAATGGCCATAAAACTCACTGTCCATGAATCCACGCATGACCCAAACTAAGTTATCAAAGGTTATCATTTAGTTAGTAGAACATACCCAGGCATTGACAGAAAATTGAATGGTCTGTTGATCCCAGTGCAATGATGTCAGACCTGAATTCCTCTGGCGAGTATTGCTATTCGAAGTGGACGAAGATGAAGATTGAGATGGTGGGGTAGATGCTCTAGCTGGCTGAGATGTGCTGCTAGTACCTATCGGCTCCACAATTAGTTCAGGATCCTGCATATCAACACAACAATTTCGCAAAACATAAACATCAAGGATAAATCCACACCATTAACGCATCCATAACAAAAGCCATAACAACCACATCCTTGATACTAAATCCTCAATTCCGTACTTAAGTCTGCCAGAGAATTGCAAGATTTGAAAATAGTGACCCAGACAGAGCATTCACAAAGAAATACGCGAGAAACCCTTGAGAACAAAATCCTGAGACTAGGCTCAAGAAATCAATTATAACATTAGTAAGGAACAAGAAAACAACGTAATTATTCCAACCCCATGATCCAACACAAGATTTAGATGGCCCTTCAACATAAATTCAATCCCGAGAACGGCAATTTATGTCAATTACCAACACATTTAAAACAACATCTAGCAGAAAAATGCACGTCTGATAAAACCCGACTAAATGAAGAGAACATACGATGTAGCGCTGGTAGAACTTGTGCTTGAAGTGATTGACGACGTCGTTACGGGAGGCCATGTGGGGAGGGATGAGCACGTTTGACCAGTAATCCGCCCACCGTGAGTCGTTCTCGTAATCGTGCGCGGCGGCGGCGGCGGCTCGCTTCACCTTCACCTTCAACTTCTGCAGATCCTCTCCTCCGCTGCCCATGGTTTTCCGGTAAAGTCGATAATTTCTCCAGTCTCTTGGGAAAATTGAAAAAAGGATGGAGGAAAAATCTGCGTCCGATATTTAACGCTGAATCAGTTGTGTGGAAGAATCTGAAGTCCACTATCCCTTTATATTCTTTACATCTTCGGTTTTCTGCTCATAGTTCTTTCACCAAGTTCAGATGAAAACGCTATTTCATTCCTAAATCGTTCTTCCTGTTCTTCTACTATAAAATGCCAATATGTTTGCAAGAATTGTATGTTAATGATTTGGGGGAAATTTTAGGGGGTTGTATTCAATTGAGATTCTTAAGGACTTTTTAAAACTTTTTAAATTTGATGACTTTTGTGGACTTTGTAAAACTTTCATGACTTTGGTAGACTTGTTGAGACTTTCAGAGAATTCTCGTTAGTGACTTTTTAAGACTTTCATAATGGACTTTTTAAAACTTATTGAGACTTTTGTATACTTGTAGTTATAATATTATGTTTGAATGAAGCATTAGTAAATGTAACATAATAACTAATATCAAGAAGAATAAATGAAAAAAAAATATATATTTTATATATTAATCCTCTAAAAATTTATGAATCAACTCATGTTATGCGAAATGAGTTATTCACTAACAAATTATTTAGGATTTTTAGATTTATTAAACGAGCAAATCAATCCGAGCTTCAATGAGTCGAACTATGGAAGATACAAATATTGTCGAAAAACAGTAATTGTATTTTATAAAGTTATCAGTAATATTCAAAATAATTCAATATCAACAAATAAACTATTAGAAAATAAAATAATTTTATAATACTAATAAAATAAACATTGACAAATAAAAAGAAAGAACAAATAAATTATTTGCAAGTGCAAACTATTGAAGCATTTAACCTTTGAAAAATTAAATTCACAAGATAAGAATAAAAGTATATATACATAAAATAACCATAATAAAAAATATATAAAATAAAGATCACTTATACGTAATGAAATAAAAATTATACAAGGTATCAAAATAAATGAGTAAAATAATAAAGCATAAAAGTGATATGGGATAATAAAGTCATTTTAGAAAGAAAAAAAGAAAGGGAGCGTGAAGAGAGTCACATAAGTCCAGCAAAATCTCACCAATATTGATGGGATTTCTGTTGGGACTTTCTCTTTGTAATTTGTTAGAAAAGTCTCTAAAAGTCTCACAATTTAAAAAGTCTCACAAAGTCTTCATATTTTGAATACAGGGTTACTTATAGAGACTCTCAGAAAGTTTTAATTGAATACCCTGAGACTTTTAAGGACTTTTTAAAAGTCTTTAAAAGTCTCAATTGAATACATGTAAACTTTTCAGAAGTCTCTAAAAGTTCTGATTGAATACACTAGAATTCTGAAAGTCTTAAAAAGTCTCTAAAAGTTGAGATTGAATACACCCCCCTTATTTTGTATCTTAAATGAAATATACCACTCGAGATTCAACTTGATCAATTTTGATCACAACAGTTTTCAAAATCAATTGTTTTTATATAAACACAAAAATGTTAAAATTGACCGTCGTCGCCCACCGCCGCCACCCTCGATGGCAGATTTCAATAAATTGTATATCATTTTACGTATCTCTATTCGACTTAACGTAACTTCTATTCTATTATACGATATCTCGAGATTCATCAAAATCCTCGTTAAAAGTTCCAAAAAAAATTGGCCAAAATGCGCATCAAAGAAAAATTGATTTCTTGATGAATCATTAATCCATCGGTAGAATCTCTAGTAGAACTTGGTCAAACATTACAGCGCACTTTGGTCAAGTTTTTTCATAACCTTTAACAGGGATTGTTATGAATCGCATGAATAAAATGTATGGTTGGATTGGTGAGTGAATCTAGAGTTTAAAAAATGTATGATATACTGAAAAATTTAACATCTTTTTAATATTTTGACTACAAGTAATTAATTTTAAAAACTTTAGTGATCAATATTGATTAAGTTGGAAACTCGGGTATAAAAAAAAAATGTGGTATATTTTGTGTAGGAAACTGATTTTTCCCTTAGATTGTATATGTTTGGGGATTTTGTTGGAAAAAGTTAAAAGAATAATAATTAAATATGATTGGAGGAAAGCAATAAAATATTAATTAATAACTATGAATATTTGAGTGGACAAATGTTAAATAACTATAAAATTTTCAACAAGACTTATTCTGTATAGTGAAATAAAAATCTCACCACTACTAATTTCCAACAAAAATCACGTTCAATTCGACAAGTGCATGTACTCCAAGAACCAAAAAATCTCACCAAGACTTATTTGAGTGAATGTACTCTTTCATGGAGTTGAGCCAAGAACCAAAAAACCACTCGAAAATTTTACACAATGCACAATATATACATAACACCAAAAGTTATAATCAAACGAATCAAGATGAGTATCAGCTGTAATTAGTTGGCTGTAACAACAAAATTTACAAGTAAAACAGAGCAGAACTGAACAACGAATAATCATATGCAACAGCAGTAATTACAAAATAATTGTTATCGAAATTTGATTAAAAAAAATGTGAATTATCCCTCGAGACAGACTATTTAAAAAATATAATAACAATAAAATAAAATAATACCGACAACCTACATTCTTCGTCTAACTTCTCCAGCTGCTCTGTGAATGATCCAAATACTCTGAACTATAATCTTGACTTCCAAATGCCATCTTCTGAAACATTCTGATCTGTGCAGATTGCTCCCTTGAACTGAAAATCCCACTTTGCCCCGGCTTCACGCCATTGTTCAAATCCGCAAGTTCTTCCATTGAATCCAAAGCTCTTGCTACCTACGAACGACAAAAATAGAAAAAAGACGAGTGGTGGATTATAATAGTGCAATTAGGCGAAATGAATAGTAATCAGGGTTAGACTGTGTTTGGTAAGGTAGCTTATAGCTTTTTGATTAGTTTATAAGCTTCATGTATTCAAATAAGTTTGGTTTGGTAGGACGAACTTTTTTAAAAAGCTCGAGCTTATATCATAAGTTGCTGCCTTGGGTAACTTTGCAAATAAGCCTATTCTTGATCGCGGGAGGAAGACCCTTTTTGTTCAGAGTTTCTCTTATCTATACTTATATTAAAAGGTATACCATTTACCAGATTTAGTATAAAGAAAAGTCAACAACATTTATTGTATTACTATTTTCGTATTATACAATCTATACTTATATAAAAGGAGATTCTATTTACTACATTTACTATCCAGAAAAGTCAACTGCATTAAATGCCATTACTATTGGTATTATAATATTTTATTTATTTAATTGATTTATTTATTTGTTTTATTTTAAAAAGGTAAGTATAATAAAAAGATTTTAATAATAAAAAAATCAAATACCAAATAAAAATATACACTTTGACTTATTTGATTATATTTGGTATTTGATTATACCAAATATATTCCTATTTAGTATATATATTAAATACTTACTAAAATATTTATTTGTTTTATTTGTCAAAGTTAAGTATAGATTTGTTTATATTATCAAATCATAAAAAAATATTAAATCTATATTGTAAAAAAAAAATCATATAATTTTATAACAATTTTACTACACTATTTAACATTATTTCTTTTTTATTATATAATAAAATAATAATTAAATATTATATGGTGAACAACAATAAGTAAAACTGTTACTTTTTCTTTATATCAAGGGATAAATTTATATACTAAAATTAAATTTTTATAAGTATAAATATTTCAGTGAGATAATATATTAATTATTTTACAAGCTAGCCCCAATATGCTCATATTTAATGTTTTAAAGGATGTAGAAAAAGAACTTATAATAACTCTATTGTTTTTTAGACTTAAACTTGATTAAAAGAGGTAAAAATTCCTAATTTTTTAGAAAACGTTGGTTAACACCATAGATTGAGAGTTTATATTTAGTAAAATTCCTAATTGTAATAAAAAAAATTAATTTTTGCTATATTTTAGACATTATAAAAAAAAAAAAAGAAAAAAACTACAATGAAAAAAGTAAGTCAGCTATATATCGATTTGTTGTACTCCTCAAATCACATTCACAATTTGGCTACAAGGAAAGGAAACTCATTGATTAAAATATTATTTTGTCAGTAGTCTTAATGTGCAAGAGACTTTAAGACTCCACTTGAATATTATAAAACTTTTATTGAACATTGTACAATTTTCTTGCGTATTATAAACTTTTATAGAATATTGCATCTTATAATATAATATTCTCCAAATAAATATATCCCGTGCTTCGCACAGGTGACGTACTATATATATCCCGTATATTTTTCTTTATTCATGTATATAATTATAAGTCTGGATAAATAGCCTTAAAATTGTGCACCCCGTGCGATCACCCCGTGCATCGCACGGGCTCTGTACTAGTTCCTATTAAGAGCTACTCTAGGAGGAATGTTTTTATGCGGTGCTAACGATTTATTGAAATTTATATTTCGGCCAGCTAATTTTACCAAACACTTTTATCATATAAGTTAGTTTTTCAGCCATAAGTCATAAGCTATCAGTTATAAGCTCGAAATTCACTTAAAACCTATAAAATAGCTTATGTTTACCAAACATAGCCTTAGTTTCTTGGTAGAACATTACCTGACTCATTTTCGGCCTTTTGGACGCCAAGTGGCGCACGCAAGCCGCGGCTGCTTCGATCATGCGAAACATTTCACTCGCGACAAAATTGTTCTCAAGCTTGGGGTCGACTATATCTCCGAATTCTTCTTTGTCGAGAGCTTGGGTGAGCAACGGTCGAGCCTGATCAACAGATAGCATAAAAGCTTTTTTTACTTATTTTTTAGTAAATAAAAAAAAAAGATGAAAATAGTTTTGAAACAGCTTTGCTTCTAGCTGGTTCTAGTCATATATAATGTAAGACGAAAAAAAGGAAACAGAAAAATAACAAGAAAAATGAAAAGAAAAAAAAGGAAAGAACTATTGTTCAAAATTAATACTGAAAATAATGAACACTTTCAATGAGACTTACCCACTCGACCAGGCTTTCATCGCCAACTGGCTGAGATGCGTCGACAGGCTTACGGCCTGTAATTAGCTCCAAAAGCACGACACCAAACGAGAACACGTCAGACTTCTCAGTCAGTTTACCAGTCGATGCATATTCCGGAGCCAAGTATCTGTGAAGTCATCCAAACTATTTAATGAACACCACACAATAGTTCTTTTGTTAGAACAGCTCACCATTAGTTCGGCATACTCCTTTCATAACTATGCATACTTTCATTAGAAAATACCATACTTCAAATACTATAAGTACGCATAGATGTTTACATAAATTGATGGGTGCACAATTTATTAATTTTAAATCCGCAAGCATTTATTAGATAAAACTAGCTCTGTTCTCTAATAGAACAAACATACCCAAAGGTTCCCATCACGCGGGTTGATACGTGTGTATGCAAATCCAATTCTAATGCTAGCTTTGCAAGCCCAAAATCTGCGACCTGCTCGTGAGGGGCAAGAAAGGTATTTAATGGAGAGAGAATTATTATTTTTTTAATAGAAAAATCAAGCCATATGAAATGCTTAGGAAGTAGTGTTACACTAAGGGGAAATTAGTAGGAATTAAGAAATTTTATTGTATAGGACGGATCTAATAATCATACTCGTGCTTCAAAGTTGTTATCCAGAAGAATGTTTGTTGACTTGATATCTCTGTGAATAATCCGGGGTTGACCTGTCAAGAATAACCAAAGCTTTTTAGTAAATTCTTCACAAAGGTCAGAAGGAAGTTACATTACAAGAGACATAAAATTCTCGAGAAGAAAAATTCTTGAATAGTATAAAATTGTTTGCTTAAGTTGCTATTTAGTGTACTTGGTCGTTGAGGCCTTAATTAAGAGAGAGAGAGAGAGAGAGAGAGAGAGAGAGAGAGAGAGAGAGAAAAATAAAAAAAAAAATCAATAAGAACTCATCATGGCCACATTAATAGAGCAACTGAAAAACCAGAATCTGGGTTTTCGCGAAACTCTACAAGCAATGAAAAGACAAAATCATCTACTTAAAACATATGTAACCCAACGAAAATAATACCACAATTTTTTAAAAGGAAAAAGTAAAGCATCAAAAATAGGGTCTTGAGCTTACAGTCTTCATGAAGATATGCAAGTCCACGTGCTGCACCAGCTGCAACCTTAACTCGACTAGCCCAATCCATCACAGTCTTGCCTTCAGCTGCCCATGTTATATAGCTCAGAATAAGCATTTAACCAATTTAGTTAAAAAAATCAACAAGCCAGAAACTTAAAATAGCCTTACCATGAAGATGGTGATGCAGGGTGTTATTCGGCACATAATCATATACGAGCAACCTCTGATTTTCAGATATACAGTAACCAACAAGCGACACCAAATGCCTGTGGTGTATTCGGCTAATAATCTCGACTTCTGCTTGAAACTCGCGCTCTCCTTGTCCACCGCCAGCTTTCAACTGCTTAACAGCAACTACCCGCCCATCCCCCAAAACCCCCTTGTAAACACAGCCAAACCCACCTTCGCCAAGAAGATTATCTTCTGAAAACCCGTTTGTTGCCCCAAGTAGGTCTTGGTATGAGAACCATGACTTTGAGGCGCCTATGCCACCACCATCGGGCGAGTACCTGTAATTGCTTGTCGAAACACTTCCGGCTAGTTGAGATGAATAATGGGATCTTAAGAATGAGGAACCTGGGGAAATAACAAAAAGTGATATGTAAGTATTCATCACTTCAAACCATTATGTATTTGATGAAAATAGTTAAGTCTGAGTAATATGAGATTGAGAGACTCTTAATTAGCCAGCACTCAGTTAGTATACTTTTTGAATTATTTATTAAAAAGCTCACACATATGAAATGATCATCAGGTAGCTGATGCTTCGTGGGCTAAGCTTCGACTTTGAAATGTGAAGACAAAAAGGAAAAATCACATTGTATTTCTTTGAAAAGCATATTAAGCGGCACCAACAATCAAAATCCAAATTCAAGAAAGAACGTCAACTGCCACTTTGTAATTTCCAGGCGGGTAACCCGAATATATTAGTCCCTCCGTCCTATTTTGATAGTCCCCCTAATCCCATTTCTTTTTGTCTCAAAATGATTGTTCTTTTGAGTTAGGGGGGATTTTCATTTTCTCCTCCTGGTTATACCCCCATTAAATAAGGTTTTTCCCCACTTTTCAAAGTAATAAATAGTTAACATAGAAATTGGAGAAGGGTATGATAGTTACATTAAATATTGCTTTGATTGTATGAGTACATTTAATGTTATTCTTTATAGGTGCAAAAATGAGAAATGAAAATGGTCCGAGGATCACAAAGAGAAGGAGTATCTGCTTGGGGAGTCAACAGAAAAAAACCAAAAACAAAAAGTCCGAATGGCTACACATTAATCCTTCAGTAAACGACATAAAATAACTTCCAAATTGTAAACACATCAATCAACCCAAGTCATATGATACACAACTCAAGAAGTAAAAGGAAAAAAATAATATAGACGAAAAGTACCTGAGTTCTGGGAGGACGCATAGGGTGAGGGCATGTTATATCCGAGACTATACTTGTCCTTCCTTCTCGTTCTTTTACGTAAGTACCACACAGCAAAAACCACAAGACTGAGCGCCAAAACGCCCACAATGCTGCCGACAACTGCTGCACCTCCGCCACTCAGACCAGCGGAGTTCGCCGGAGTTGCGCCCGAAACTGTATTTGGTCTCGCCGGAGTTGACCCCGCCGTAGGTTTTTCTGCACTAGTGGTGGGAGGCGACGGGAGTGTTCCAGGTGTCGTGCTCCCATTGGTTGATGCATTTCTCAACGGAGGAGGAGAAGGTGAAGATATGGTTGGCGGCGGGGTGGTTGACGAGTTGGAAGGTGGGCTGGAGGCCGGCGGAATAGGTGGCGAGCCCACCGGAGTTGGAGGTGATTCCGGCGGCGGCGGTGGTGGATCCACCACAGACGGTGGCGGCGGAGGGCTGTCGGCAGGCGGTGGAGGAGAAGGCGTGGTGGATGTAGGAGGAGAAGGTGGTGGAGGAGAGGCCACGGGGGTGGCGGGGGATTCCGGTGGTGGAGAATTTCCGGCTGATGGAGGTGGTGGTGCCGGAGTTGCTGGGGATTCCGGCGTCGGTGGGGAAGTTTGCGGTGAAGGAGGCGGTGGAGGAGAGGCGGCTGGCGGGGAAGGGGAAGTAGTTGCCGGTGGTGGGGCGGTTGGGGGAGATGGTGGCGGTGAGGTTGGTGGTGTTGGTGGTGGCAGCAAAGGAGATTCCGGCGGTGGGGCGGCCGAAGGTGTGGGTGGTGATGGTGAAGGAGGTGACGGCGGTGAGGTTTCCGGCGGAGGAGCCGCTGGCGGAGATGGTGGAGGAGCGGAAGGAGTGGATAATTGAGGAGGTGGCGCGGACGAGGGAGTGGATGGAGAAGGAGAAGAAGGAGGAGGAGAGGTTGTTGAGTTTGTTGTGGAAGGTGGTGGGTCAGTTTGAGTAGGAATCAATGGTGGTAACAGAGAAGCNTAGGTGATAGCTTGTCAGTAATTTTCGAGCTTATAGCTTATAGCGGAAAAGTTAACTTATATGATAAAAGTGTTTAGTAAAATTAGCTGATAAGCTACCTAAATTAATAATTTCAACGAACTTATTTGAAAAGCTATCCAAAGAAGTTTATAAAATAAGTTTCAGTTTTTTAAAAAAGTTTGTCCTACCAAACGGAATTTATTTGAACACAAAAAACTAATAAGCTAACAAAAAAAAAAACTATATGTCTATCAAACGTAGCCTAAATTACTTCATATTAAAGTTACTTCATGTAAATGGACAATTTTACTATAGATAAATATGTAGTAGCATGTGGTTCAAATAATAACTAGACTTTACTATGAGAATCGGGAGAACAGTATTCTTTAATTGCATGGGAAATGTTCCCCTATCCACGGCAGACACATGTTAATATGCCCACTGTTTATGTGACATACACACATTGGTGATGTATTTTTTTTATAGTACATATAGTACATTGTGTTTGTTGTTATTTTTTTTTTTTTTTTGAAAAATAATATTAACTAAATAAAAAAATTGCACTATATGAGCGAAAGAATATAAAATAAAATAAAACAAATCTAAATTGGAAAATTGGGAATGTGATTGTGTGAACGAACGTGGGATTATTGTAGGAATTAAGAGAGAACGTTATGGTGAAGGAAAGTCAAAGCCAGCATCATGACTGCCATGTTCACTCATCTTGTTTTCAACTATTAGCCATTTTATTCAAAATTTTAAATTCATGGTTTTATTTTTTTTCTATTTTGAGATTGACATTAACATAGGGGTTTTAAGTTTTAACTATTTTGGTTTTGGTATGTAAGAAAAAGGAAAAACTATTTTTTTTCTGATTTATTTTCCAAACAACTGTATTTTTTTATATAGATTAGGTTGGAAAAAATTAACTCAAAAATAATTGCTGAAAAGGTGAAAAAACAAAATGGGTGAAAGAATGAGTGGATTATGAAGTAAAATGTAATAATTAAAATTATTAATATATTAGTAGAATAATAATTATAAATTATTTGTAGATAAAAATATGTAAATGGATCAATGGTAATTTTTGTTGAAAAGTATATAGTAGTGATTGAATTATATTTTAAAATTGTAAATAAGTAAAATAGTGTTTGTAAATATACGAGTGATTTAATAGTAAAATTTGTTAAAAATTATATAGTAATGATCGAATTATATATATTTTCTAAATTGTGTTGATAAGATTGACAAAAAACATATAAATAAATAAATAGCAATTATTTTGAAATAAATCTATATCAAAATATTATTCGAGGAAATAAAAAAAATATTTGTCTCTTTGGTTATCACTCTGATCTCCTTAAAAGGAGGGAGCGCGTAAAAACAGTAAATATTTGAAGACTTATTACAAAGATGAAAATAGACGTGTTTATATTTATTGGTTAGTTGTATACATTTTCTAAATTAAATTGTCCAGTTACTGCTGTGAGTGACATTTGCTAAAATACATTTTTTATGTGGCATCTGCTAAATTACAGGTGAGATTTAAAATAGGAATTATTTTGTAAAACGAAGTCTGAATGGAGAAAGTGGATAAAATATGAGGTAGAATAAATAAATAAAAGTACCCATTTTTCTATCCAAGCAGTATAACTGTCAAACCAAAATTTGATGGTGCTCGGATATACAAATTTTCAGGGTCTTTTTTGTCCGGTCAAATTTTATCCTATTGACATTGTGATTGAATATAAAATTTTTAAAATATCTTTTCGATCTCATTAAGATAATTTAAAATAAAATAAAAAAATATTATATTTTTCTCAGTAGAAAACAATATTCCTCATCTATATATTTATAACTATTGATAATTATCCATTATGCATCTCTATATCACATCAACTTTATAAATAAATTATATATATCATATACATTCATCATTTCAACAGAAAAAATATCCCTCCATTTTTTTATTAATTTTCCACATCCTTAATGCACAAAATTTCCAAAAATATTTGCACATCTAATCAATTTTGATATGTGAATTTGGTATGCTGCACATAACTTTGATATCAACAGGCTGGGTGTTTTTCATTTCTAATTTTTAAAAATTTGTTGGGACTTAGATCATCTCCGACCGAAAAACTCATTCTCAAATCTATTTTGCAGTTACTATCACATCAAACAGTAATTCATCTCCAACCGAAAAACTCATTCTCAAACTCAAAAGAATATTCTCTTCTACATCAACTTTTACATCTTTCAATATTACCCCATATTTTACAACTTTACAAATTAAACCACACTATTATTTTAAATTTGATTTAGAATTTATGTGATAAAATTAAATATAGAGTTATAATTCATATATATAATAAAATTGGAGAAATTAATATTCATTAAAAATAAAAACTTACAATATACAAGATGAAAAATAAAAATACATTGAGATGAACATAAAATAATCATTCGTACAAGTAGAATATAGATATTCTTCAATTAGTTCAACTAATTTGATAATATTAATGACTTTTTCATGTGTCAAATTTGTAGTATTTTTAATACTAATGTGGTTTGTATTTTTTTTCTAAAATTTATTCAAAATGTTTGTATCAATATATAAAAGTATTTTATAAATTTCTTAAGTCAAAGTGTTTGTATGAATATATAAAAATATTTTTATAAATATTTTTATAGTTGTTGGATTAAATTCATTATGGATATTCACAAGTTTTCAAAATTATTGAATTGAAATTATTAAAAAAAGTATTAAAAATCATATAAAGATATTATTTTACCATTAAAATAAAATAAAAAATAAAATTAAACTATAATCAAAACCATTTAGTATATTTATATTAGGTTGATAAATAAAACATGTAAAAGTACAAACAAAAAACCAAACTGGGCAAGAAATGTAATTTGAGCAAACATTTGCGTATATGAAAAGAAGACAAGAACGCATTTTGAGTTGCGTTTTGCGGTTCGATTGGAGAGATTTTTTGTGTTTGGATACGTTATGCAATACGGTAGGAGTTGGTCTTAAGAATTTTGGTATATTTAATTTAAACTTATAAAAATCATGAAGTCATTTGAGATTGACTTTTTAAGATTTGATTAAATTATTGATACAAAAATCTTATAAAAAATTTCACCCCGAATTTTATCTCGAGACTTAAGATTTTCAAGAATTATCTTAAAATTTCAAAATCTTAAATCTTAAAAAGTTTTAAAATTTCTTTTAAAATAATATCTTAATCTTATGACCTTTTAATGTCCAGGACCCTGACTTAAAACGTAACTAGTACGTACCTCGTGTGATGCACGAGAAAGACATTAAATGAATTATTTTCACAAGTTCTGTCCGTTTAAGTCTGAGAAGAGTTATTATCCATTTTTCACCTATTTTAATCACCGTTAAGTCTCGTTTAAGTCTGAAAAGAGTTATCATATATTTTCCACCTCTTTTAATCACCGTTAAGTCTAAAAAAATAGGGTTGTAATCTATTTTTCACATCTTTTAATCAGCGTTGTTTTATTAGTCAGAACATTAAACATGAGCATGTTAGGGCTAACTTCTAAAATAATTAATATATTATCTCACTAACACATTTATACTAATATAAATTTAATTTTATTATATAAATTTATTCCTTGATATAAGAGAAAATAACAATTTTACTTATTCTTATTCACTATATAATAGTTAATTATTAAACTTTGTTGTCATATAATGTCATTATTATTTATAAAGTTATACAAGTTACACGTCTTCTTGTTCTTTTTATTTTATGTAATGAAATATATTTAATGCACGTTGGTATTATTTATATAAGTAATCAATTTAAAATATGTAAATAAATTTAAAATTAAATAGTGTATAAATAATGTACAAAATATATACATATATTTTTTTAGAATTTAATTTTGTATACTAATTAAACAACTTTGATTTAAGAAAAACCATGAACTCAATCTCTTCTAATATCAATACTTTTCTAATTTGCACTGTAGTGATTATTCTTATTATATATATATATATATATATATATATATATATATTAGAATTTTTGCGACACCAACCAAACTAAATATCACAACAACCAAGTAACAATTGAAAAAACTCATAACACAACAACTATTAAATTTGGTATAGAAAAATTACATACGTATATATAAAAATATGAGGATTCTATATTTCTATTAACTGATGTATACACCACGTGTATATTTTGTTAAGGTATATTGGAATGTTCAATTTCTTATCATGATAACGATCAGTCTTAAAAAATCGAAAATCTTATTGAAATGCCATATTTTTCTGTTAAAAAAAAAAGTTCTCATAAAAAATAATTATATCATAGAAAATTCATTGTGTAATTGAACAAATTTCTATAATGAAGCCCGATTTTCTGTACAAAAATAAAACAACAACTTCCACATTTTAAGAAAATCAATTAATGTTGGTCCGTTTTTGCTAAGAAAATAATAAATAAATAAATTGTAATTAATGAAAAGTAATTAATGATGAGAGAATTTGATCATATCTGTTTTTAAAAATCGTAACAGAAAAACAAAGATTAAATAATACTGTATAATACGGAAATAGTAATGACAATAAATGCTGTTGACTTTTCTAGCTACTAAATTTGGTAAATATGACTCCCTTTAATATAAGTATAGATAGGAAGGAGCCAAAATGAATTAATGACAATTTTTATTGTTTATTAAAAGGTCAAATTTCTTACAAATGATACCCTACAGGCCTAAACTGTATCTTTTATTTGACATACGAAATATATTGATTAGCGGTCAAATTTCACTTGAAAAATGATATTGCCTACCCAAGTAGTGGTAAAAAATAAAACAAAACACTACAAGAAATTGTCAAGATGCCAACAAAAATTTTTCCGTTGGGGATTACCAACGGATTAACAATGCATTATATATACAATTTTTATAAACGGATTACCAACAGAATACTAATAAAATATAGCAGCAACGAAAATTATATCTTTATATTCCGTTGCCAAATAGTGACGAAAATACTCTGTTAGTAAATACAAACAAAAATACCAATAGAATAGCAACAAACTCTTTCAAAATTGTACTAGTA